GGGGGGGGGGGCGGGGAGAAAACCTGGGTGGAGATTGCTGAGGTGGTCAGCAGAGAGGAAAATCTCAGGCTATTCAATTCTCTATTGTAAGCAGGTATGCCTGTAGCAGAAGGAACTAATTGTGGTGATTGTTAGGAGCAGAGAGAAATTAAATGCAGCCTGGCAAAATTCTGCTCACTCGCTTGCCCCAGGGCCAGCATTTATTTATTTATTTATTTATCATTGGGCAAGGAAGATACAACTGATTTATCTTCATTATAATGCTAAAAGGCACAGAAGCAGAACTTGTGCGCAGACTGTATTTTTTATTATGATTTTGCAAGGCTAGCTTAGTTGATACGATATCTGTACAAATCACTACCGCATTATGTACGTTCCTCAACATGGCGCTACCTAGACCTATATGCAGGTTATATTTTACACGTTGTTAACTAATAAAACATCTGCATTTGTGTACGAGAATATGACGAACTGCTACGTGGAAGGAAGAGGTGGGATGTGCACAACTCTCTTACCCCCTAGAGACATCTGAGTCTGCAGTTTGTATGCAGGATATCTCAGGTCAAGCTCTTTTCTCTCCTTGAAAGTTTGAAGTGAAATTATTTAGATAGAGGAAGAATGGAGGGCAGGCAAAAAAAGAATGACTAAGGTAGCTTCCTAGATGGAGGGCCCAGCCAAACACACGATTAACGCAGCCATTTGAGACGCATTCTAAACAGTTCTCTGTAAACGTATGTTCCAATATACTTGAGAGTTTAGAAATGTTTAAGGCACGTGTGAAAAATGGAGATGGGGAGACTGGAATGTAGTATGTTTGAGTTTGTGTAAAATCATTCAGAGATTGTTCTCAAAAATACCCCACCCCATACCCAAATGTCCTATCTCAACACTGAATACAAATTTGGACATTAAACTATTTATATTATAAAACATGCTTACACCACTGGTTTTATTACTTTTAAAGCTTGTAAAAATACCCTGAAAATTGCAGGTGCAAGCAATTACTCTATAAGGAAATAAAACAATTAATATATCCCGGTGTTTTAAAAAAACGCAAATTATTTGAAGCTGATAGATACAGTGTCCCAGCCCTTCTTCATTCTTGTCAAGAAAATGACATCTAATTTAAAAAGCATTCTCAATGATTCTGTTAACCCTGACCAGAAAAAAAAAAAAAAAAAAAAAAAAAAAAAAAAAAAAAAAAAAAAATCACAGTACAGCAGCAAATCTGTCCTTTATTTCCCTGACAGGTAAATTAAAATAAATATCCTTTTGAAATTAAAATATATTAAGTATATTTTAATTTGTTGAATGAATTTATACATTTAGTAAAACTCAAACCATTTTTTTTTTCTCATAGCATTTTTTTTTAATTCATTGAGAGGGTCTTCCTGCAATTTCTTCTTTGAAAAGCAACTAGTACAATTCACGGGGCTTGCTTTTTTTTTTTTTTTTTAATGTTAGCTATTTTAAGGCTCAATTTTTAGTTTTGTAAAGAAGCATCACCAAAGAAAAAATTAATCACTTTGCAACAACTTGATTAAAGCTGCACCATGGCAACATGAGTATATTCATGAAAAACCTACTGTAGAGTTTCAAATAAAAATATTTTAATCTCACACCATGTAACGTACCAGCTCAGTATTGAACAGCCGGAAATTTTGCTTTGGTCAAAATTCAGTCAAGCCTAATACATTCAATTATTTAATGAAACATTTGTTGTCTTTTTATGGATTTCTGTTTAATTCTTTCTATAGACGAATGTACATGGACTGAAAGAAACTCCATGACTACCACCTTATGGCATTGTGTAATATTTGATGGAGAAATTTAGATAACCTCTTGATAGTTCTGTAAAACAATCATTTAGAGAAAACCTTTGAAATGCAAAGTAGGAAAAGAAATGCATTACCACTAAATAAATACTGCAAACACTAAGCCTGTAACAGCTATGGAATCAGAACATGAAATCTTGTAGCATATATGTTCTTATGATTGTAGTATTTAATAAGCACTGACATGACACAGAAGGCCAATTTTCTTTTTAGAAAAAGAAGCCTGTCCTTCTTACAGTGATATATAAGAGATTAAAATAATTAGAGAGGAATATAATTCAGTGAGTAAGAATGAGTAATTTCATTGTTAATCTAAATGCAAGGAGAAAATCCAATTCTCTTAAAAGGAACCTACAAACCCTAGGAGCTGAACAAGTTTGATTATAAGAAACATAGAAGAAGATTATATGTTTTCCTGTTTTTTAGATTTTAGAGACTTTTTCAAATGGACCAAATGCGTAAGTGAAAGAAAATTACGCTCTCTAAATGCAAATTGCTTTTAAAAGTTTAAAGAATCCCTCAAGAAATTGTTAACATATTAGTGCATAGCACTTTAGCTTCATTAACAAAAATAAAGAGGTATTCACCTTAAACTTATACTACAAATGAATCAGTTTCAACAATAATGCTAAGAATTTTGAATGCTTGCTTTAAATTTCACTCTTTTTTTCTAAAATGTGCAAAATCATATTGTAAATTTAGTGGATAAAACAAAGCATTAAACAAGAAAAAGCCTTTCATTTACAAAACTACATTACCACTTGGATATAGCCATCAGAAGTGTCTTCCAGGAATATCAGAAAAAGCACAGACTTTCTAGAAAATGCATACTATATTAGAAAACATGACTTGATATTGGGACTTGGAGCTGAAGAATGGAGAAACTCACTTCTTTCCAGAAAGCAAATTTCTCATAGCAATTTTTACTCTATTTTCAGATCGGGTCTTTGTTGAGAAAGCTTTGATCTTTACCTATATGCAAAAGGATACATGCTGCAGCTAAAGAGCTGCAACTGAAAACAGGAAAATTGCAGTAACATAGCGATACTCAATAGGTAGAATAATACATCTCCCGATTATCCATTTAAAATACATTGATGCTTGTCTGCCTTTTATTTATGTGGGTTTAAAACATTAACAGTCTTGTTAACTGAAATACATTCTAATCGTGAGTATTTGCTTCATTTCTGGGAAGGCAGCAGCAAAACGGTCACTTTACACAAAATAAAATGCAACTCTTGTGTGTTGACCTTTGCACGCAGCGTGTTTTAAATGACAGTCTGCCTTAGATCCAACAAATTATTTCTATCCATGTTCAATTATGAAGGATATAGCACATCTACACAACATATTAAAAATTTTAATGTATCTTTACATGCTTACTCTTAAATGATACTGAGAAAAAGTAAAGTTTTCTTTTTCCTCCTATTCTTTAATATCCTGCTCAAATCTGTATTTAACACCTATCCAAGTGCAATGTACTGAATAATTTTAAAGTTTCAACATTTAACATGTAGTCACTTCTTGATGGGGAGTTTACATGTTATGCAAGTACAGGTAGCAGCATCAAAGGTCACATCAGTGCATCTCCTGGACACCATGCCTCTTCATATTTTGTGGTATTTTCTTTTGTGCAACCGCAATTACAAATTTTGAAATTTTTTTAGACTGCAGAGAAAGGGGGAAGTAATTCCACCAACTATTGTATTAATTTTCTTGCTTTTAATTGTATTATCACTTTTGGAGACTTTGGCAAATTCCACTTAACTAGCAGCAATGGATAAAATCGGTGTTTTTCATGTACTGCTTCTATTACTGATGTTGGCATTTAAATGTTAATTTCAGACTGAGGTTTACAGTAAACATGAAACAAGGGATTTTCTTTCAATGAACAATCTCAAACCAAAATTTTAAAAGAAGGAATCCTAGCGCAGTATGTTTTTAGGTGCAGTGATTATTTCCTTTTAAAGATTTAATATTCCCTAACTGACAGAAGTTAAAGATTTAAACGTGACAATTTATAATTCTCTACGTTAAAAAGGCATTTAAACGTTAACCACATTTTTATATGAGTCAAGTCAAAGTAATTATAATTAGAGTATGATACAAAAGAAATAAACTTCTAGCAAACCATATTGAACATTGATGGTGTATTAAGCCCTGAAAACCTGTGTTAATAAACTCTGGAGTTTAGATTATATGCAACTTAAATGTAATGCGGGGTTTTTCTTCAAAGAAGAATACTTCATTTCAAAGTTTGGACTTTTATGAGGTATGTATTAATTAATTGGATTTTTATTAAATACATTTACATAGCATCACTCCAAAACCAAGCCTCAGATTAATTTTCTTCTGTAGGCCTATCTCTATGTAGGATTTTGCTGAATTAACATTCCATACAAATTAATAGCTTTTTTTTCATGTTTGTTGTGTTACTATCAGCAGTGTGATACTGTGTTGTGTCACAGGTCACATTTATTTGATTTCGATTTAGGAATGGTATCTGTACTACCTATTAAATACGAGAAATGACATGCAGAATTTCCCATCAAATATCTTAAATACAGACCTATTTCAGATGGATTTGTATAAACAAAACACATATATGTAATATAGGCGTGGGAAAGGAAAAGCTTGTTTGTTATATGCTAAAGCAAATTGGAGTAAATCAACCGCATCCGTGGGCTGTATAAGCAATACTACTCTGCTTTTCCCAGTACTATTTGGACAAAACAATGTTACTTTTTTATTTAAAGTGTTTTCTTCTCAACAAGGGGCCACCACTTCCCAATCTCAAAAACACGCCCCAGAATATGTTAATTAATTGTATTGTGTCTCTGAAAGAAAGAGGTTGCCAAATGCAATTAAAAAAAAAAAAAAAAAAAAAAAAAAAAGGTCTTTCCATCAGTGAGCTCCGTTCCCACTGCTAGTTACCATCTAATTTCAATTCCACATATATATATACATAGATACATTTCCTCTAGGTACGACTTTGACCATTAAAAACTGTCTAAGAGCAAAAGTCTAACTTGACCACATAGGGTGTATCTGGGAAGCTTAACATTCCTGGCGAATTAAGCGCGCAAGCCTGGGATCACTTTTTGTCAATCTTACTATGGTACTTCAGAGTCGGGAATGTGGGTAATTTTTGTATCATGGTACTTCCCAATTAAAATTAACAACAATGCTCCTTTTTGAAAAAAAAAAAACCTTAATATATGAAATATGTCAACACAGTCCGCACAAATGCAAAATAAAGAGCAATGAAGAACGGCAACAAACGGTCTCGCCCTATTTTTTTTTTAATCTTCCCTTTCAATAAGACAGTTTTCAAATAGCAATATACTGTTTTAGTAAATACAAGAGCATTAAATGTCTTTTTGAATGACGCTTTCTATATTTGTAGTTACCTTTTGAAAATTGCCAGGCAGCAATTAAGAGTAAATGCATCTCCAGAATACTCAAGTAGGAGAAGCAAAACAAAACAAAACAACAAAAATCTTTCTTTCCTCGATCTTAAAAGTTAATACCTTTAGATATTACTAGGGTGGTGTTTTCCTATTAAATATTACTTGCATCTTCAGCTTTCAAATAACATGGATGCTTTTTACCATCCAAACTGAATTGAGCTTTTATTTAAAGGAGTCCCACAAAAGCTTCGAAGTTTACAAAGACTGAAAGAGAAGTCCCAAACTGTATTATCTTAAACAATGACTGCAAGCATGCAACTTCCCAAGTGTGCGTTAGGGTATTTTCAGCTAGGTGATATCCATAAACATCATCCTTTAACTTCTTTTATGTGCAGCTCACGATCTACACAAAACATGAATTTCCTGGCGATATATTTAATAAAATCTAGACATCACTTCTAATATTTTTAAATAAATTCTCATGCACTCGGAGATAACTTGCTAAAAATAATCACAGTTCTCCTAGAAAGGATTTTCTTAAAATAACTAGTTCTCTATAAATTTTCCTCATCATAAATATAAGCCCCTTCCCGTTTTAATTTAATCTTTCAGAAACAACGTGCAGAGACATTTTTTTCCCCTTAAAAGACGAAGGGCACTTGTTGGAAATTTTCTTGAACATCAAGTTAGTCAATTCTTCCTCTGTGTAATACACGATAAAGTTCAGGTCTGAAATGGCGTACCAAAACAATTTAATTTCTAATTATTTTCGGGGGGTGGGGGGTGGGGGG